ACCTATGCCTCTGGGCTTTGCCTGTATTCAGAAATGTCTCCTCTCCTCTCCTACACGAATGAATCTTTCTTCCTTTCAAAATTATGTTAAGACCTGGGCTGGGGATGTGGCTCAAGCGGTAACGCGCTCGCTTGCATGTGCAGGGCGCTGGGTTCAGTCCTCAGCACCACATAAAATAAAATAAAGATGTTGTGTCTGCCGAAAACTGAAAAATAAATATTAAAAAATTCTCTCTCTCTCTCTCTCTCTCTCTCTCTCTCTCTTCTCTCTCTCTTAAAAAAAAAATTATGTAAGACCTAAACCCTATACTGTACTATTCCCATTTCACAGAAATCGCTCTTTTAGATATATGCTTGGCATGCGCTTAGTATCAATTATTCATTAATTAATCTCCTATAATTAGTTTTTTCTTCCCACTATATTTCTATAGAAACTTAGAGAATATCCATTCCCTCTGTTATATTTGCTAACCTAGTGTAACTAATGAATGTTCAAGGATTTTTAAAAATTTGTTCTAATTAGTTATACATGACAGTAAAATGTACCTTGACACATCATACATAAATAGAGTATAATTTCTCATTCTTCTGGTCATACATGATAGAATCACACTGGTCAGGTGGTCATTTACATACATAGGGTAATAAAGTCTGACTCTTTCTACTGTCCTTCCTAACCCCGTACCCCTTCACTCCCTTCGCCTAATTCAAAGTAATGCTATTCTTCCTAGCCCCCCATCCCCACCTTATTGAGAATTAGTATCCACATATCAGAGAAAACATTCAGCCTTTGGTTTGGGGGTTTAGCTTATTTTGCTTAACATAATATTCTCCAGCTCCATCTGTCAACTGGCTGGGCTGACGAGATGAGCTGAGTTTAAAGGAGCCAGATGCGGCAATAACTAAGAAAACAGAAAAGAAACCATGCAACACACGAAAATGAGTTTCTAAGGTTGAGGGAAGGCCTGCTCAGTGATCCCAAGGATCAGCTCCATGCTGGGCAGTGCTGGAAAAAGCAAGAGAGAGAGATCACACCCAGAGCACACACATTCCTACTTATTGGGGAAAAGACATTTGATAGAAGATTCCACCCAAATAAGGCAAGGGATAGGATTTCCAAGGGTAGAGTCTTGCTTGATGGTGTCTTGTGGTCAGCAGATTAATTAACATCTTGGCAAGTCACACCCATCTCAGGTGCTGTGTGGGATCACAGGTAGAGTGAGAGGAAAGGCACACTTGAGTTGCATAACCCATTCAGCGCGCAACGCTAGACCAGTCCCCTCATATGCTCAGATGTGCATATCTCACACACACACACAGCCCATGGATGGCTCATGATATCCATCCACTTACTGTCAAATGCCATAATTTCATTCTTCTTTAAGGCTGAGTAATATCTCATTGTGTATATGTACTATATTTTCTTTGTCCATTCATCTGTTTAAGGACACCTAGGTTAGTCCCATAGTTTAGCTCTTGTGAGTTGAGCTGCTGTGAATAAATATTGATGTGGCTGCATCACTGTAGTATGCTGTTTTTAAGTATTTTGGGTATAGACCGAGGAGAGAGATAGCTGGGTCAGATGGTGGTTCCATTCCTAGTTTTCCAAGAAATCTCCAAACTGCTTTCCAGATTGGCTGTACCAATTTGCAGTCCCATCAGCAGTGTATGAGTGTACCTTTTCCCCCACATCTTCACCAACACTTATTATTGCTTATTTGCTTAATAATTGCCATTCTGACTGGAGTGAGATGTAATCTTAGTTTTGATTTGCATTTCTCTAATTGCTAGAGATATTGAACATTTTTTATATATGTTGATGGATTATATTTCTTCTGTGAAGTGTCTATTCAGTTCCTTAGCCCATTTATTGATTGGGTTATTTGTTTTTCTGTTGGTGGTGGTGGTGGTGGTAGTTTTTGGTGTTTTTTGAATTCTTTATATATCCTAGAGAATAATGGTCTATCTGAGGTACATGTGGGAAAGATTTTCTCCCATTCTGTAGGCTTTCTCTTCATGTTATTGATTTTTGCCTTTGCTGAGGAAAGTTTGAATCCATCCCATTTATTGATTCTTGATTTTACTTCTTGCCCTTTAAGAGTCTCATTAAGAAAGTCAAATCCTAATCTGACATGATGAAGATTTGGGCCTACTTTTTCCTTCTATTAGGCTCAGGGGTCTCTATTCTAGTGCCAAAGTCTTTGATCCACTTTGAATTGAGTTTCGTGTATGGTGAGAGATAGAGGTTTAATATTACTTTGTTACATATGGATTTCCAACCAGCACCCTTTGTTGAATTGGCTATCTTATCTCCAGTGAATGTTTTTGGCACCTTTGTCTAGTATGAGATACTGTATTTATGTGGGTTTGTCTCTGTGTCCTCTATTCTGTAGTATTAGTCTATGCATCTATTTTGGTGCCAATACCATGCCATTTTTGTGACTGTTGTTCTTAGTGTAGTTTAAGGTCTGGTATTGTGGTGCCTCCTGCTTCACTCTTCTTGCTAAGGATTGCTTTGGCTATTCTGGATCTCTTATTTTTCTAAATGAAGTTCATGATTGCTTTTTCTAGTTCTGTGGAGATTGTCATTGAGATTTTAATAGGAATTGCATTGAATCTGTATGGCGCTTTCAGTAGTATGGACATTTTGACAATATTAATTCTGCCTATCCAGGACCGTGGGAGGTCTTTCTATCTTCTGAGGTCTTCTTCAGTTTCTTTCTTTGGTGTTCTGTGGTTTTCATTGTAGAGATCTTTTACCTCTTTTGTTAGATTGATTCCCAAGTTGTTTTTTTTTGGGGGGGGTGGGGTAGGTTATTGTGAATGGGATAGTCTCCCTAATTTATTTTTCAGTAGATTCATCACTGATGTGTAGGAGAGCATTTGATGATGTTAGTTAAAACTTGGAATGGAGTTGTAGCTCTGTAGTAAAGAGCTAGCATACATGTGAGACACTGGGTTTGACCCCCAGCACCAGTTAAAAAAAAAAAAAAAAAACCTTAATCTTTAGTGGTCTTGTCTTCATTGAATATCCTGTTTAAATCATCTGAAATCATTACTTACTTTCTTAAATTAATATTTGAGTCAATAGTCTTTTTAAAAGAGCATCACTAAGAAATACTAGAGTAGTGTTTTTGGCATTTAAAAAAAATATAATACATATAATCATATCTCAAATTTATGTGGAAAGTACATGATGTCAAGATTGTCTCCATTTTTATGCTGCCATATAACCTAAAGAGAATTTCTTGCTTTACTAAATATAGTAGATTGAATATTAGGATCATATAATTATAATGTATATTTAAGGATCCAATATTTAGGATTATTAAGTATTCTTGGTGAACTGGCTTTCATCATTGTAAAATTTTCCTTTTTATCATTACTATTAATATTATGGTCTTTCATCCTATCTGTAATCAATATGGCCACTCTAATATTCTTATTAATGTTTGTATGATTTATTTATTTATTTATTTGGGTGCTGAAGATTCAACTCAGGGGCACTTGGCCACTGAGCCATATGCCCAGCCTTATTTTTATTTTATTTAGAAATAGAATCTCACTGAGTTGCTCCTCGCCATTGCTGAGTCTGGCTTGGAACTCATGATTCTCCTGTCTCAGCCTCACAAAAGCTGCTGGGATTACAAGCATGTACCATGGTGCCCAGCTGTATGATTTTTTTATATCATTTAACTGTTAACTTATCTGAGTCTTTAAATTTACAGTATATTTCTTTTAAACAGCAAGTAGTTGGGTCTTGCAATTTTATCCAATCTGAAAATCTCTGGCATTGAACTGCAGTGTTTATTTCATTTACATTTAATATAAATCAACTTTATTTTTTGAAGATTACTCACTAACTTTATTAGGCTACAGTAATCTGTACAATAGTCCTGATCCTAAAACATGGCCTTTCTAAAAATTCAACTGAATGTCCTTGTTCAAGGAGTTTTATCCACTGGCTGGTTGGAGCACAATAGCCCTCAGTATTTTATGACTTCTGAAATATATGTTCAGTATACAGCTTCTGGGTAGCTCATCACCACATCTTGTAATATCTTGCTATGCTCAGGCATAGCTTAGTACTTACTCAGGTACTCAAGAAGACATCTGCATTTCTGGAACCCTTTTCTTGAAATTCTCTTTTCTCTAGTATCCTGCCTTGTAAATTCCAGCTGCCACAGCAGCCCTAAATTCATATCTCAGTCTTCTCAGCTCAGTCCTGCTGTGTACTGTTTGGGTCCCACCTTTCTGGGCCATAGTCTGGAATATTCCTATATGTAGAAACTCACCATTATGGGGTTCATGTGTATTTCTCTTTTAGGGATTATAATCCTGCATTTCAGATGTAGTAGAATATCTGAAAACACTTGTTTCATGCAATTTTTTCTAGATTTTAGTTGTTTACAGCAGGAGAATTAGTCAATCTCTAGTTAATCCATTATAGCCAGAAGTTAATTTTTATAAGGCATATATTTAAAATAATTCTTTTTGAGAAACAAGAACCTAAAACTAAAATACAGAAACATTGACTTTATATTACACCATAGAATAATACTGCAATACAACACTCATTTGTAAGATAAGAAAATTAAGATACATAAGCTCAAGTGACCTATAGTAGGTTACAGTATGAATTAGTCATACAGTTAGCCCATCTCCCAGGTTTTCTCAATCTTTGTCCACTGTACTCCACACTATAATAATCTTTTAAAAATTTCTTCTAGTTTTGAGACATAATTTTAAACTATCAAACTTATTTTATTCTTCAGAACTCTTATAATTTAAACATCTTCTTCACCATTTTGTTATATAATAATATTATTAATCCTGTTAATATTGGCATGATAAAAGTTATTTACAAGCAGCTTTCAGAATAATTGATATGCTATAGAACTATGTAACTCCATATTAGACCTGAAAAAGGTCACATTTAGTTCTCTTAATATAATGGGTTTTCCTCTGTGTGTTTGTGTGTGTATGTATTTTTTTTTCCAGTTTGTTTTCTTTGCTGTCTAAAAAACATAACAAAGTTCTGGAACAAGCCACACAGTCCTTGAGAGGTTCACTGAGTTCTGATGATGTTCCTCTGCCAGATTATGTAAGTAGTTGCCTTATTTCATCAATAAAATATTCCTCTTATTGTTAAATTTATTAATAACAATCTCTCTCTCATGCTCTTAGAAACCTCTGATATACAAATAAAGAAATGAGGTCTCAAAACAATGGAAAATTTTTAAATTAATACCAAGAGGTTGAAGAAAATCAACCCTGAATCAGTAGTTGTTAATTATTAGGAATCCTACTAACTGAGTCAGGAAATGTACTCAAACTAATTATATAAAAACAAAAGAAGGTATTTTATAGGAAGAGTACAAAGGTTTCTCTCTGAACTTGGGTGGCAGGGAGTATTGGGGCCATAAATACACCTGGATTTCACAAAGAACTAGAACCTAAAATTGAAAATCCATGGATTCAGGAATGTCCTGTTACTGAGGTCCATTTAGTTTCTGATCTCTGATCTGCTTTGCTTCTGCTTTGTTCTTCTGGTGACCAGCTGGTTTACTCTGCTTGCTCACTTGAACATATGATCAAAGCCCAACCTTCCTCCTTCTTCACACCAACACGTAACATGTCCTTGGGAGTATAGTGCCTTTAGCTAACTGATCAGAGTCTTGAAGCACCAATTCTCAGTGCCTGTGGGATTTGACATGTCAGTCATGGTCAGAGGTGACAGTAAAAACATGTTGTATGTTCCATCCACTTTAAAGATGAATAACTCATTACCACCTGACCTTGAAGGATGCTGATGGAATACAACAAAAGCAGCCCTGGGGTGAGCCTTGTACCATAATGGGACAGAGAGTGCTGCATTGAATCCCATTAGGGCAGTGCTGCTATCTGTGATGTTCCTCAGGTCTGGAAACATGGCATAGATGAAGACACTAAAAATTATCTTGCCAGAAGTTCATTAAATTCTAATAGAGACATCCCTGAATCTCAGACAACAACTTAGTGGGTTGATACATGAAACTTTATTGGAAACTTTAAACATTTGTGTTTAAAGTGGCAGTGCCACCAGATAGCTGAAGAGTGGTTTTGCTTATTTCCTGTGGTTTGTTTCATTTCTAAATACTTGTGCTGATATGAGACTGTGGGAACAGCAATCAGACCGGATATCAGTTGTTGATAAACATACATAGCTATGTGTAGCCACAACCTGACTGGTGCTCTTTTTCATCTTTGTGTGTGTGTACACGCACATGCAAGTGTAAACACACACACGCACACACTGTGTTATGATATGATGTCATCCCATTTAAGTATTAAGTTTGTAATTTCAAAAAGTTTTTTAAAAATTAGCCTAACAATTCACTTAATTCTATACTTACCTTGACTTGTGATAAGAAAAAAAATCTCCCTCTGATAGCTCCTTGGAAACCCCAGATGCGAGCAGGGTGGCATTGTGGAATTATGTTTATATTAAGAACTTGAGGGAGCTGGGGCTGTAGCTCAGTGGCAGAGTACTTGCCTAGCATGTATGAATCACTGGGTTCAATCCTTAGAACCACATAAAAAATAAACAAGTAGAATAAAGGCATGCTGTCCATCTACAACTACAAGAAAAAAACATTTTTAAACTTGAATTTGATTCATCCGTATGTTTTGTTATTTTTATGCTATTATTATTTGCTTCACCCAGTATTCCTTTTCATTTTCCCCACAAAATGTATTGGATTTATATAGTCCTGAAGTGTTCTTTAATCAGAGATCCATCAAATTGATTTCTTTAAAGGAAATATGTCATATTTTAATGATATTTTCTGGTTATGAAGTTTATGTGCAATGATAGAGGATAGTTTGAAACCAGAGATTTTAATTTTATTATTGAATTCTACAGTTTTTAAGTCACAGTTTATTCTTTCATGAAATTTTCACCAAGTAAAAATGAATTTCTTAATGCATCTGCTTCCTAGGAATAGTGGGAAAGTTTTGTTTGGAATCTGTCACTAACAGTTCTTATTTTAACATTCATATATATGAGACTTCGCAAATCACAACATTTTCCAAATAGGTTTATGAACTTGAGTTTCAATGCCTTAATTAAAGAGGATGGTTAGCAGCAATTCAGTGGTAGTGATAAATAACTGTGAATCAGTCACTCCCTCTGCCACCAATCTGAAAGTTGATTAATGAAAACAATAGTAACCTTAAAAAATGAGCACTGCCAAATCACTCTTTCATGATAAATCAATATTTTTTGGTAATTTCTGTTGCTCAAAACACTGTTTATGAAGTGATTTATAAATTTGAAATCATTCTCATAGTCATTCTCTTTTAAATTAGTCATGAACTGGGAAAATGAATATGTTCCTCCTTTGATTGATTGATTGTAATTGTAGATGGACAGAATGTCTTTATTTTATTTGTTTATTTTCATGTGGTGCTGAGGATCAGACCCATTGCTTTATGCATGCTAGGCAAGTGCTCTATCACTGAGCCACAGCCACAGCCCCTGTTCCTCTTTTTATTATTCCCCAGAATTTTTACTTGGTAAGTATCTTTACCAACAGCCACATAAAATTCTGTGTCATGGACTACTGCTTTAGACTACTTGTTTATAAAAGATGGAAAAAGAAATTGAAACAGTCCTAATGCAGCAGTGGATTCCCAGATGTATGCTCACTATACCAAGATTGAATAAATATATTAGCAAAGAGTTTGAATAAGTGCTTAAAAATAAGGATATGTTTTTCTTCTTACTGTAGTACGTAGAGTACTTTCAGTCTACCTAGAGGTTTCTGAGTTTATTAAGAAAATGTTTATGCTCACTATACTGTATAATTCACAAGTCAATTGAGTAAAAACATAGAAAGCAAATTACAAATTACCAAAACATTAGTATTAGTAGTTTAGATGTCTGAGCATCTCTCAACTAAATATTAGATAATGAGGAAGCTGTCCTGGCTGCTTTGGGAATGGAGGCGGGGTCAGGAAATCCCATGCCAGTCCTCTACAGGGAGCAAGAAGACCCACTGCAGATAGTGCCTCTACATGAGCAGACAAAGTGACAGTTTGGCTGTGCTTTGCTGTCTCAAATTTAGTGACCAAAAGAACAGAATTATTGCAGGAAACTCTTTTGATAGTTTCTTAAAATCAGAATGTCCCTTTCAGACTACTTTGGTCCCTTATAACAGAACCTGAATATAGAAAATGAAACAAAGATATGACAAATGACTTTTTAAACTATAACTGTGGCTTTTAAATTGTTAATACTGTCACAGTGTCATACAGGCTTTGTTTCCCTAGTGTCTAACAATTGCTTAACAACTATTTGGGAAGAGAAGAATCTAATTTTTGTTCTAGGAAGAGTCATAGAAATGAAATTATGTTTCCCTTTTGCTCACTGGAGAGCTTTGGAGTCTTTCTGTAGAACTGACCTATCATGTAATTTCAAAGAGTAATGCAGTGGTTAAGTGCTTTCCTTGCACGTGTGAGGTACTGGGTTCAATCCTCAGCACCACATAAAAATAAATACATAAAAAAGATATTGTGTCCATTTACAACTAAAAAAATAAACTAAAAAAAAAAAGTAATTCAAAGGCACAAGGCAAAAAAGGCCTTTACCTTTTGCATTGATAGCTCTTATTAATCATATTTTACATTTTGTTATAAGTTTTATATCTACTTTTAGACATTTTATTTCTTCAGAAATGTGTTAAGGGATTTAATTTGTGACCTATCACACATATGACAAGAAAATTTATTAAGATTTTTCTACCTTTCCCCCACTTTCATTTTAAGTCATTCTGTTTTTTAGATTTCTTATTAATGTTTACTCTTTAACTCAAGACTGGGATAGAGAATTTAATATTCACATAACATGGGAACAATTATTTTTTATATACTGACATAACCAAATATTGAAATTCTAACATTTGTCAGTTCATTTTAAGATGTTGTCACTTTTCAAACAATTACTTATTACTGGCTTTTTTCAGACAATTACTTGTTACTGGCTTTACATACAGTTATTAAAATGATAGTGATGTTCATCAGAATATTGCTAAAATTTCTGTTTGGGAATTACTTCAGCATGGTAAAAGTGAAGAAGGTATAGTATCTACACATAGGGAATCTAAAAGTCTACTTAGAACAAAGGTACAACTAAAATACAATTCAACATGTGATAAATTTTGGCATTTCAAAGAACACAATTAAGAAAGTAAAAAGACAGCCCACAGAAGGGAGAAAATATTTGCAAAGCATGTGGATAAAGAACTAATATCCAGGAGTTGAGGGAGATCTGGCTGCAACATCTGTCACCCCATTGATTGCTTCGGCTGATCTGGCTGGCTAGGCAGATGTCCCTTACTCTGTCACTGCTTCATATGCATCCCTCCTGAAGCTTCTGTATCAGTCAAAGAGGACAACCTTCCTTGATTGAGGAGAACCATTCTTCAGTCAAGGGTATAGCTCTACTCCTCTGCCTAGAACCTCCAAACAAGCCCTCAAGGAACTAATATCCAGAATATGTGGAGAACTCTTATAACTCAAAGAGTAAAAATATGAGGGGCTGGGGTTGTGGCTCAGTGGCAGAGCACTTGCCTAGCATATGTGAGGTACTGAGTTCTATCCTCAGCACCAAATATAAATAAATAAAAAATAAAGGTACATCAACGACTAAAAAATATTTTTTTTAAAAAAGAGTAAAACTATGAATAGCCCAATTAAAAAATAGACAAATAGTTAGAACTGTAGAAAATGCCTGTAATTTCAGCAACTCAGGAAGCCAAAGCAGGAGGATTGAAACATCAGAGTCAGCTTGAGCAACTTAATGAGACCCTGTCTCAAAATAATTAAATAAAAAGTTCTGGGGGTGTAGCTCTGTGTTAGAGCATCCTTGTGTTCAATCTCCAGTACTGAAAAAACAAAAGAGCAAATATTATATTTTATAACCTTATTCTGTAGCTTGTGAGGTATATGGTCTTGGGCAGGTTGTTTTGCCTCTCTGGGCCTTAGTTACCTTATCTGTAAAATAGGAGTAAGAGTAGAATTGACCACCCAGGATAGTTGTGAGGATTAAATGAGTGTATCCAG